TCTTCCTTCTTTTGGAAAAGTTTGTTTTCTTGATTTGAAACAAAATGCGATTCTGATTAACATTCTGAGCGATTTGTTTCAGTCACAGAGTAAAAATGGCTCTTTTGATTAAAATGTTGCCAACCTTTTGTTTATATCAAAGCAGACTTATGGGTTAGAATGGCCTAGTCAAAGTCCAAACCCAAATCTAGTGAAGTTCTCAGGGTGTTTATCTCCTTCTCACTCTTCCTCCTCCATTCAGAGAGCGAAGTGTGCAAGCTGGAGACGCTGCTGCAGACTGAGGTTTCCGTGGTAACCACAGGCGAAGCCGCCGACGCCGCCAAGACGCCGCCGTCCCTGCGACGGCGAAAGCGCGCCTGTTCCGGCGGCAGAGCGAGAGGGAGGGAGGCGGGTGTGGAGGCGGGCGATCGAGGGGAGCGAGGCGTCGGGGAGGAGCGGAACCGCAGGGAGGCCAGTAAGTCCAGGCCGCCCCTCTGCCGCCCCCCGGTGGCCGGACGTCAGAGCGCAGCTCGCTGTTTCCTGCCGCTCAGTCGCTGCTTGGTGTCTGCAGGCGCTCCGTTCCTGAAGCTGGGCGAACGCGGGCGCGCCGGCGGACACGCGGCATCTCCACCGTCCTCCTCATCGTCAGCTTCATGTAAGCGCCCCCCTGTGGTCGCCGTTGGTCCTGCATGTTTGCATCTCTGTTCTGATTCTCTCTGAATATTCAGCTGCGTCTCAGAAAGGCAGTGAGAAACTTGAAATAAATATTTATTTCTCTTCATTTCAATGATTCTGGTTAAAAAACACAGTCTGTTTCTCAGATTTTATATTTTCCAGTAAAACAGATTTGATCATTCTAGCTTGGACTGTGTTTTTCCTTCCACTCAACTTTCCCCCCCGATACGTTTAAATATATTTTTATTAAAGTTGTTTGTTGCTGTGAGATAATCTTGAGCTCTATAAATGATCCGCTTTGTTTTTAAACCAAATTATTGATTTAAATCAGCTTTTCAATAATTTTTTAACTTACTGAGACGAAGCCGAGTTGACCTTGCACGCTGACCCTTGACCCTGCTGTTGACTCTGTGGGTCGGACTAACAGCCTTCCTGTTTCTCCCCCCCATGCGAAGGATCTGTATCAGGTTCGTATGACAGCTTCTGCTTTTCTGCTGCATAAATGCGACCATATGAATGAAAATGTCCCAAAATGTGAAAAATCCACCATTTATTGAGGAAACCGCCTGCAGACGGAGAACTGGGCTGCAGAACCGCTCGGCTTCACGACCAGAACCAGAACTCTGAAATCTTTTATTATTATGTGGCTCCAATAAAACAAGCAGGCTGTGAATAAAATAATTAGATGTGTAAACACTTGGAGAAAGTGATAAAACACTGATTATAGATCCACTGAACTTCCTGATATTGAGTTTTTATGGGCTGAGAGATAAAAGTTACAGATATTAGTAAATGAAAAAAAAATGATGTTTTTCCAGCTGGTTTGGAAAATGGCTTCAGTTTGATACAGTTTCAGTTCAGATGTGAAACTAAAGATCTCAGAAACGAGTTTAGCCTCACAGCTAAAGGCCGCCCCTACCAGCCGAAGGAAGTACTGCGCTGCCGCAGGTTTAACAAACTGCTTCCTGTTTTGAATTCAGAACCTGAAATCATGGAGTTTGTAATCCTCCACATAGCTGCTGCTGTTCCACTGACATTAAATGAATCTGATGATGTGAAGAGCAGCTGCAGTTACCAGTTTACGTCAACAGGAGGCAGAGTTGTAGCACTTCAGCAGGTTTTCCTTCACCTTTAAATAGGAAACAAATTACTGTCATTAAAGTATTAAAGATTATCTGATGGATTCTGAAATGTTTCACACCAAGAAAAATGATCTTTGATTAATTTTGAACCAAAACAGAAATCCTGTTAGCCGTTTTGGTGGATTGTTCCCATAATTTCATGAGTGTGTTGTGTTTCCCAGATGAGTCTGAACTCCATCCCGTTTGCTCTGGTCGCCATCTTGTTTTCTTTTTGGCTGTGTGTCCGGTCCAGTCCGGTCCGGTCCGGTGTGTTTGACCTCTCCGTCTCTCTGACCCCCAGTCTGGTGGTGCTGGTGGCTCTCAACATGCTGCTGTTCTACAAGCTGTACGCTCTGGAAAGAGCAGCTCACACACTGGAGAGGTGGCACTCCTACTCTGTGGCCGACAGGTAAACACGCGCGCAGCCTGGAGGAGATCCACGCAGGGTTCTGGTCTCCAGACATTCTCCTTCCACTCAACTGTTTATCATCATTATGTCCTAACTTACAGTTTAGCCACTTTTCCAGTTGTTTGCTGTTCATTAGTTAAATATTCTACGATTCATTTAGACTTAGAGAGTCCAGACTTTGAAAAGTTATTGTCTTTGGATTTTCATAGATTCTAAAACTGGAGCGGAGAAAAACTATTTCAGCTCCAACAGAGACAGACACGTTTGCAATTTATTAGCCGAAGCTAATGCATCCTTCATTTCAAGAGTATAAAAAAATCAGTTATGTTGCTTTTAATGTGACAAATGTATTTAAAACAATGAAATGGAACTTATCAGTAATTAGATTCATAACTAATTAGCTCTGATTTAACTAATATTAGTGTTTCTTTGTGTTTTTATTTTCATGAGATTAGTGTAGTTTATCTTAGCTTTTCTTCTGCTAGCTTAACTAGTAGCTTCCTGTCAGTTAGCTTACTTTAGCTGGATTTGATGGTGTTACCTTTGGCTTCGGTTATGTTAACTTGGACTATGTTACATTAAAATAGCTTGTTTAGCTTGGTGTCAGTTAGCTTAGCTTGGTCAACCTTAAATACTTTAATTTAGCCTTTTTTACTTAATTCAGGAAAGCTTGGTGAATTTTTTAGTTTTATTGGTTGTTCCAGTTTAGTCTAATTTATTTAACGTATCCTAGCATAACATAGTTTCTTTATATCTTTAATATTTTGATTCATGCTAGCTAGCTTAGTTAGCCTAGCTTTGCTTGCCTTAGATCTGGCCTTTAAAGGTCAGGGACTGTTGTGACCAGTTGGAGGTGAATGTGTGGGCTGGATCAGAACCTCTGACCCGTTGTGACTCGTTGCTGTTGTGCCGTCAGTCCTCTGCCCCAGACGGCGGGTGAGTGGGCCCAGGTTCTGCACCTCCAGCGGCAGTTCCACCAGGCGCAGCTCAGTAAGTGGCAGGAGATCCTGCAGTCCTCCGTCGCCTTGCTGGACCAGGTCAGAACCCGTCGGCTCCACACAGAACCAGAACCGCCCGCTTTCAGCCGCAGCAGCTGACCGGTTCTGTTTGCTCCCCAGATGAAGCATTCCCTGGAGAAACTCCACAGGAACATCGTGGTTCCGGACGGGGAGCCGGATCCGCCCGCTGACACAGAGTCCCTGTCTGAGACCTGACCTCTGACCTCTGACCTCCGACCCGCATCCCCCCGCTCCGGTCTCAGGACTCCGACACTTCCAATCAGAACCCGGTCCTGGGTAGGACAGACAGATGAACTACACTACCCACAATACCCTTCTCCTGCCTGACTTGAAGTCGCCTTTAGCTTCGACCAATGAGAAGCTTCCAGAACCACAGCAATAAGCCCCTCCCCCACCGCTCCACACATGAGCAGAACCGGGCCGCAGGCGGGCGCCGGGTCCCAGACTGGCTCCTGACCTGCTGCGTGGCGCCGGACCGGACCGGACCGGTTCCGGCCAGAAACGGACCTCCTCAGTATTTATTGTTACCTCCCAAGTCTCGTCCTGCTTGAACAAGTCATGTGATGGCTGTTCTGCGCTCTGATTTGCTGATGTTTGGACCAATAGGAGAAGGAGGTTCAGCAATAATGAAAACCTTTTGCTCCAAGAATGTGTCTCTGAAAACTAGTTTATAATTAAAATCATAATAATAGTGATGATGATGATGAAGAGCGAGGAGAGGGCGTCGTCATGGTTACGTTATCACATGCTACTTTTTCTCCATTGTTTTTCTTTGTTTTTCTTTGTTTTTCTTTGTTTTTGTTTGTTTTTCTTTGTTTTTCTTTGTTTTTCTTTGTGTCCAAATCTTCAGCCGAGTCGGAATGAACCGGACCAAGCAGAACTTTTCAGGCCCGGAAGAACAAAAAGGGAAACAGTGTTTCGTTTTTTATTTTTTTGTGAAATGAATCTGAATTATTTTTTACTTTTTCACTTCCTGTTCTGAGGTTCGGTTTCTCATCTCTGCTTTTTGTCCCGACTGCAGCGGCTGTGAAGCCGCTTGGCCCTGCTGTGCACGGTCGTCATGGAAACGAGAGGCTGGTGTATTTATTATGGGATGGTGAGGAGAGAATGTACTGTAAAATTGTGATTGTTCAAAACAAGATGGAGAAAAATGAAAAATCCTAAAACATGCAACATTTCGCGCCTGCCTGAGTCTGACGTTTTTCTGTTTTCTTGAAAAATATCAATAAAATGTTTAGAAATTATACATTTTCTTAATAATAAATGTTGATTTTTATTTGGCTGTGCAATACTAAAAAAGCTAATTTAATTTTCCAGTGAGATATTTTAAGATTGTTTCCTTCATGAATATGAAGCTGAGAAAATTAATCCCTTAATACATTTATATCCTTAAAGTATTTAAGAATGTTTGTCAATTAAATATGAAACGCGTTAAAAACAGATTTAATTTAGATATTTTTCTGAATTTGCACAAATTGAATGTTTAAATAGTCAAATTAATTCTCTCATTCTTAAATATTTCACATTAGTTTAAAATATTTGAATTTGTCGTTTATAAAAAATATCCTAAAAATTAACCAAACTTTTTCTGACGTCACTAAAACCTTTAATTTTCTCTCCGTTGAAATATAAACGTCTCCAAAGTAAAAATTTATTTTTTTAGATTTTTTGTCTAATTTTCAGCAGATCCATCAATATTTTCCATTTCTGCTGGTTCTGTTCGGTTCCCGGATGCTTTCAGAACCGAACCGGCAGATGGTTCGGTTCTGACCCAAAGAACGACTCGGAACCAACTGAGAAACTTTTATTTACGTTTTTATTGTTGGGACTGACGTTTCCAGGGCAACACATGCAGCCAGTCTGCGGTTTTCTTGTTTCCAGAACCGGAAGCGGAACCGGTTCTGTCCAGCCCGGTTCTGTTCACTGGAGCTCAGAGAGCCTGCAGGTTCTGTCTCGCTTTGAGCTGCAGCTTCCTTCTCGGCTCAGCGCCGAAACTTCCTGCTTTCTGCGTTTCTGGGTCCGATTGTCGCTCTGCAAAAGATCTGCAGGGTTTTGGTTCTTTCAGACAGTGCGAGGCTTCAGCTGGAGCTTTGAGTTATTTTACTGGAACGGATTATAATCGCTGGAAGGCAGAAATCGGTTCACTTCTTAAAGCACTTCTGGAGTCATGCAACCGAAAAAGGACTAAAAACTGTCCAAATATGTCGACTTTTTACTGGGCAAAGCACCTTTTAAAGAGACCATTTTAAGCCTAATTTGAAGGAAGACCTGATTCTGCTGGCCGTTAAACTCTTCCTGGCTTCTTCTCCTCGGTGCCGGAGCAGCAGATCCCACATCGGCCCGTTTTCCTCCAGGTTAGGAAACATGCATAGTTAAAATGTTTCAGCTGTAATGATGCAGGTCACTGGCAGACTGTCCAGAGTTTGGTACTCCAGAATATTCAGACCAGGATGTCAAACTCCAGTCCTCCAGCTGTCCTGCAGCTTTTAGATGAGCCACAGATCCAAACAGGAATGAAACGGCTTCATTCCCTCCTCCTGGTTCTCCAGAGCCTTAATGACCTCATTATTCTATTCAGGTGCAGCAGAGACTCATCTAAAGGTTGCAGGACTGGATGTTGTCTCCCTGCTCTAGATCTTCATTCATTGATATATGGGATAAATAAACCATCTGAACGCGTCGTTTCTCTTTGGGTCCACTGGGTGGCGCTGCAGTCCGATTAAACAACATGCAGAGGGTGAAACACGACTCCAGTTTTGTTTTGATACATAACTGATGAATATTTTGTTTTCTTTCTCTGCAGGTTTTGGAAGAAAAAATCCAAACGGGGAAAAACTTCAGCTGCTTTAACAGTTGGCAGTGAGCAGCTGCGGTTCGTAAAGGACTTTTAAAAAACTAATTTGATTCCGTTTTTAAAATGTCACCTTTAAAAGCAAACAGTGAGACCTGAGGAGGAGGGACTGGCTGTCGGTCTGCATGCAGAGGGAGGCGGTCTGGAGGTGAAGCGTATTTACAGACGCCGCTTCCATCATCCCATCACCAGAGAGACGAGAGGGAGGCGGAGTTCCTCAGGGACGTCGCCTTGTTCTCTCCATCAACCTGGAGAAGAGTTGCAGCTCAGAGATGTTTCACTGCATTTGATTTGGCTGCAGAAAAGTTCAGTAAAACTTTAACTTTGAAGCTCATTTTTGGTCCCTCAAACTGGAAAATAAGCCCTTCTTTATATATTAAAAAAAATAAGTTAAACACAATTTAAAACTTCTAAATCCATGGCCGTAGAAACCAGTATGGAACTACATTGGTGGAAAAACCTGGAAGAAAAGCTGGACCTGCAGCCTGTTGGACGTACCGCGTCACTCTGCCTCCTGGACGGCGCCGCAGTTTTCTTTACTCTCTGAAGCCACGGCTAAATACTCGGCCCTGCAGGACAAAGACGCACTGAAACACATCTGGATCTGGATCTGGATCTGGATCCTGGATCTGGATCTGGATCCTGGATCCTGGTTCTGGATCTGGATCTGGATCCTGGATCCTGGATCTGGATCTGGATCTGGATCTGGATCCTGGATCCTGGATCTGGTCCGGGTCACTCACTCGGTCTCCCTCAGCGCCTCCTCTCCGGCCGCTGAGATCTTCCTGTAGCAGTAGATCATCTCCACCAGCAGCCACAGCTGCAGCCCGACGATGGAGACGTACATCATGACCTCGGACAAGATGGACGCCAGGCCTCTGGTCACTGTGGCGACACACAGCCAGAGGGTGCTATGGAAACCCACTGACACTTCTCCCGTTTGTGACCAAAATTCTCAATAAATTCGACTAAAAGCTTCTTTTCATGAACGGCTGCAGCTTCATGACGCATGAATGGATGTTTTTAGGCTCATTAGTCACAAATATTTAATAACAGCAGAAATACAGACGAGACTGAAAGCAAACAGGAGAACAGCTGCAGCAGGTGCTGCAGCTGAACTGCTGCTGCAGCAGCTGAAGAACTGCTGCTGCAGCTGAAGAACTGCTGCTACAGCTGAAGAACTGCTGCTGCAGCTGGAGAACTGCTGCTGCAGCTTTCAGCTGGATCAGATTACAGCAACCATCAGACATGAAACCCGAGAGGCAGGTTTCATGTTTCCATCTCTGCTGATGAAATAGAAAAACTTTCAAAAAGAAAATCATCTTGAGTCAGTTTTTCTTTTATTTTTTCTTGAATGTCGTCAGGAAGTGAGAAAATGATCAGGCTGCAGTTTTTCTGTGATGTTTGTGAAGCAACAGTCAAAACTAACATAAAAACCCGAGTCGCTCCTCCAGTCACAGGAGAGAAAACTGGAATACATTCATTATTTATTCATTTTCATAAATATTAAGTTTTCAGTTCAAATATGTAGCTCCAAACTATCATCTTTAATATTTGCCTAACAAACTTAATATTTATCTCAAAACTAAAATATTGAGCTAAATATTTACATAATATTCAAATTTGTTTGTTGATAAGCAGAAGTAGACTTTCAAAATAAAAGCTGGGTGTCACAAACATTGATATAAATATAAAAACATATTGATCTGTAAACTGAACTGAAGTTTACAGATCTGAAGCTGAATAATTAGCTTCAGACTAAATATTTAGTTTGCTAACTAACCTGTGATATGAATGAATGAATGAATGAATGAATGAATGAATGAATGAACAGATGTTTGTCCCGGTTCTTACGGTTTGGAACCACGTGCAGGTGGATCATCTTGGTGGTGCTGTTCTCGTGCTGATAGTTGGTGTACATCAGGGTTCTCCTGAAGGTGCAGTTGTAGGTTCCCGTGTCGTTGAAAGTCACGTTCAGGATGTAGATGGAGCCGTCCTGCAGGTCCTCTGTGCTTTTGCTGCCGTTCCAGTCCAGACGCTCCTCGAAACGCGGGTCCAAAATCTCTCCCCTCTTGTCTTCATACTCATACAGCTGAAACAGGAAGCAGAGGAGAGACAGCAGGCTGAGGGGAGCCGGACCCGACCCTGAGGAACACCGAGCCGCTGCAGGACCTCAGGCTTCCAGTCTGGACGGCCGGGAGGAGAAGCCGTCAACTCAGCTCTCTGCTGATGCAGGCGTCTGTCTCCCACCTGCAGACCTTGTCCTGGACCCGAGGGAACCAGTGATGCTGCTTCCAGCTTTAGCTGAAACCCAGCTGCAGGATTTCAGCCGCAGGATTTCAGCCGCAGGATTTCAGCCTGACTGACTGCAGCAGCAGTTGGGATTCGTTCCCCTGAACAACGTCATTTCTGACTGACATGACAACAACGCCGACCCGCCGGCGAGCGCCGCGCTGATCGACGTTCGGCCCTTACCAGAGAGAAGCTGTCGTCGTCGGAGCCCTTGAAGTACCAGGTGACGACGGCTTTGGCCCGAACCTCGGCTCTCATCTTGCAGGAGATGCAGCCCAGTTTGAAGCCATTGTTGGCCACGGCCTCCGTGTCCGAGTCCACCTCCACGCAGGCGCCGCGGCTCAGGCCGGCTGCAGAGGGAGGAGGAGTTCCTGTCAGTTCCTGCTGGGTCGCAGGTCAGAGGTCAGAGCCGTGGGCGGCCATGTTTTCTCTCAGTACTCGCAGGCAAACTCTCAGTACTTCAGAAAACAGCAGGAGCTTCTGCAGCTTCAGTTTTACATGCTGCTGAATGCTCAACACATGCGTGACTTTTGACCTTTTAGGTTCTTTTTTCTTGCATTGTTTTTATTTCCGCTCATCGCTTCACTTTGGTATTCCAGAAATTTGGATTTCAGTTTTGCTGAAATTTTGTCTTCAAGATGTGAAAGTGAGAGGAAATAAAGAGGCAGCAGTGAGTCGGTGGTTCTGCTTCCTGTCAGCTCCAACCGGATCTCACGTCAGATATAGACGCCAGAGTCTATATATGACCGACATCATCACCATCATCATGACACAAACTCGTCATCGGCCAAAGCAACACACCTGGAGCTCCAAACGTTTCAAACTGCATCAGTTTCCACTGAGGCCTCAAAGAGGTGCTGCCCTGAACTTTCACCTCAGGGGCGGGTCACAGGGCGCGGGGGGGTCCATGTTAAATAATGAGATGGAGGGGGGGATGTGAGGGAGACTCTGGAGACCCAGGTAGAAACAATAATGAGGCATTTAATGATGATAAAGTCCAATATTCCAAAAACACAGGCAGCGACTGGTCAGACCAGGGAACAGACGACAAGGACCTGACAGGGAACAAAGGAGACAGGAGGGAACGAGACACACATGGAGAAATCAGGACAACATGAAGACTCAGAGGACAGAAACTCAAATAAACACAGAGAAAAACACAGAAAATGACGACATCAGATCAGCGCTGAGGAAACCTTTAAATTTGGTTTAAACTGAAGAGCAGAGGAGCATGAAGGTGAGGAACGATGGAGGACAGAGAGGAAAACGTTCCCAAGATGGAAATGAGGGGAGAGAGTGAGAAGAGGTCAAAGGTTAGCTGCAGAGGAAAAGGAGGAAAAGAGAATATTAGGAGCAAAATTATATAGAAAACTGTTTATTCATCATGGCTTCATATCGACCATCATTTCACTCATTGACTGACGTCACACGTCCAATGTGACCTTTATTGACCTGTGAGGAGAGGAAACAAGGATCCATTTAGCTGAAACTCAGCAGAGAAGCTTCTGACTCTGAGGGATTTCTGTTTGGTGGTCATCAGCCTGAGGACTGAGAAACGCCTCAGTCCTCTGGAAATCACAAAACCCGAAATCACCAAAACCTTAAATCACAAGACCCGAAATCACAAGACTTAAAAATCACAAGACCTGAAATCACAAAACCCGAAATCACCAAAACCTTAAATCACAAGACCCAAAATCACAAGACCCGAAATCACAAGACTTAAATCACAAGACTTAAATCACAAGACCCGAAATCACAAGACTTAAATCACAAGACTTAAATCACAAGACTTAAATCACAGCACCCGAAATCACAAGACTTAAAAATCACAAGACTTAAATCACAAGACCCGAAATCACAAGACTTAAATCACAAGACCCGAAATCACAAGACTTAAATCACAAGACTTAAATCACAAGACCCGAAATCACAAGACTTAAATCACAAGACTTAAATCACAAGACTTAAATCACAAGACCCGAAATCACAAGACTTAAATCACAAGACTTAAATCACAAGACTTAAATCACAAGACCCGAAATCACAGCACCCGAAATCACAAGACTTAAATCACAAGACTTAAATCACAAGACCCGAAATCACAGCACCCGAATCACAAGACTTAAAAATCACAAGACTTAAATCACAAGACCCGAAATCACAAGACTTAAATCACAAGACCCGAAATCACAAGACTTAAATCACAAGACTTAAATCACAAGACCTGAAATCACAAAACCCGAAATCACCAAAACCTTAAATCACAAGACTTAATCACAAGACCCGAAATCACAAGACTTAAATCACAAGACTTAAATCACAAGACCCGAAATCACAAGACCCGAAATCACAAGACTTAAATCACAAGACTTAAATCACAAGACTTAAATCACAAGACCCGAAATCACAAGACTTAAATCACAAGACTTAAATCACAAGACCCGAAATCACAGCACCCGAAATCACAAGACTTAAATCACAAGACCCGAAATCACAGCACCCGAAATCACAAGACTTAAAAATCACAAGACCCGAAATCACAAGACCCGAAATCACAAGACTTAAATCACAAGACCCGAAATCACAAGACTTAAAAATCACAAGACCTGAAATCACAAGACCCGAAATCACAGAACCCGAAATCACAAGACTTAAATCACAAGACCCGAAATCACAAGACCCAAATCACAAGACTTAAATCACAAGACCTGAAATCACAAGACCTGAAATCACAAGACCTGAAATTACCAAGACCTGAAATCACAAGACTTAAAAATCACAAGACCTGAAATCACAAGACCCGAAATCACAGAACCCGAAATCACAAGACTTAAATCACAAGACCCGAAATCACCAAAACATGAAATCACAAGACTTAAATCACAAGACCCGAAATCACAGAACCCGAAATCACAAGACCCGAAATCACAGAACCCGAAATCACAAGACTTAAAAATCACAAGACCCGAAATCACCAAAACCCGAAATCACAACACTTAAATCACAAGACCCGAAATCACCAAAACCTGAAATCACAACACTTAAATCACAAGACCCGAAATCACAGAACCCGAAATCACAAGACTTAAAAATCACAAGACCCGAAATCACCAAAACCCGAAATCACAACACTTAAATCACAAGACCCGAAATCACAAGACTTAAATCACAAGACCCGAAATCACAAGACTTAAATCACAAGACTTAAATCACAAGACCCGAAATCACAAGACCCGAAATCACAAGACTTAAATCACAAGACCCGAAATCACAAGACCCGAAATCACAAGACTTAAATCACAAGACCCGAAATCACCAAAACCTGAAATCACAACACTTAAATCACAAGACCCGAAATCACAGAACCCGAAATCACAAGACTTAAAAATCACAAGACCCGAAATCACCAAACCCGAAATCACAACACTTAAATCACAAGACCTGAAATCACAAGACTTAAATCACAAGACCCGAAATCACAAGACCCGAAATCACAAGACTTAAATCACAAGACTTAAATCACAAGACCTGAAATCACAAGACTTAAATCACAAGACCCGAATCACAGAACCCGAAATCACAAGACTTAAATCACAAGACCCGAAATCACAAGACTTAAATCACAAGACCCGAAATCACAGAACCCGAAATCACAAGACTTAAATCACAAGACCCGAAATCACAAGACCCAAAATCACAAGACTTAAATCACAAGACCTGAAATCACCAAGACCTGAAATCACAGAACCCGAAATCACAAGACTTAAATCACAAGACCCGAAATCACAAGACTTAAATCACAAGACCCGAAATCACCAAAACCTGAAATCACAAGACTTAAATCACAAGACCCGAAATCACAGAACCCGAAATCACAAGACTTAAATCACAAGACCCGAAATCACAAGACTTATAAATCACAAGACCCGAAATCACAAGACTTAAAAATCACAAGACCCGAAATCACCAAAACCCGAAATCACAAGACTTAAATCACAAGACCCGAAATCACAAGACCCGAAATCACAAGACTTAAAAATCACAAGACCTGAAATCACAAGACCCGAAATCACAGAACCCGAAATCACAAGACTTAAATCACAAGACCCGAAATCACAAGACTTAAAAATCACAAGACCCGAAATCACAAGACCCGAAATCACAGAACCCGAAATCACCAAAACCTGAAATCACAAGACTTAAATCACAAGACCCGAAATCACAAGACCCAAAATCACAAGACTTAAATCACAAGACCCGAAATCACAAGACCTGAAATCACCAAGACCTGAAATCACAAGGCTTAAAAATCACAAGACCCGAAATCACAAGACCTGAAATCACAAGACCTGAAATCACCAAGACCTGAAATCACAAGACTTAAAAATCACAAGACCTGAAATCACAAGACCCGAAATCACAGAACCCGAAATCACAAGACTTAAATCACAAGACCCGAAATCACAAGACTTAAATCACAAGACCCGAAATCACCAAAACCTGAAATCACAAGACTTAAATCACAAGACCCGAAATCACAAGACTTAAAAATCACAAGACCCGAAATCACAAGACTTAAAAATCACAAAACCCGAAATCACAAGACTTAAATCACAAGACCCGAAATCACAAGACCCGAAATCACAAGACTTAAATCACAAGACTTAAATCACAAGACCCGAAATCACAAGACTTAAAAATCACAAGACCCGAAATCACAGAACCCGAAATCACAAGACTTAAATCACAAGACTTAAATCACAAGACCCGAAATCACAAGACCCGAAATCACAAGACTTAAAAATCACAAGACCCGAAATCACAAGACCCGAAATCACAAGACCCGAAATCACAAGACCCAAAATCACAAGACTTAAATCACAAGACTTAAATCACAAGACCCGAAATCACAAGACCCAAAATCACAAGACTTAAATCACAAGACTTAAATCACAAGACCCGAAATCACAAGACCTGAAATCACCAAGACCTGAAATCACAAGACTTAAAAATCACAAGACCCGAAATCACAAGACTTAAAATCACAAGACCCAAAATCACAGAACCCGAAATCACCAAAACCTGAAATCACAAGACTTAAATCACAAGACCTGAAATCACAAGACTTAAAAATCACAAGACCCGAAATCACAAGACTTAAAAATCACAAGACCCGAAATCACAAGACTTAAAATCACAAGATCCGAAATCACCAAAACCCGAAATCACAAGACTTAAATCACAAGACCCGAAATCACAAGACTTAAAAATCACAAGACCTGAAATCACAGAACCCGAAATCACAAGACTTAAATCACAAGACCCGAAATCACAAGACTTAAATCACAAGACCCGAAATCACAAGACTTAAAAATCACAAGATCCGAAATCACCAAAACCCGAAATCACAAGACTTAAATCACAAGACTTAAATCACAAGACCCGAAATCACAAGACCCGAAATCACAAGACCCGAAATCACAAGACCCGAAATCACAGAACCCGAAATCACCAAAACCTGAAATCACAAGACCCGAAATCACAAGACCTGAAATCACAAGACCTGAAATCACGCCGCAGCATGATTTCATGATCATCGACCCTTTGGCTCTTGTTCTGGAGTTGTTCCGTTCGGACCAGAACCCTTCTCCTTCCTCAACAACTGGACTTTCCCATCCTGAAGTTGTTTGACCAGATGGACGCGGCACCATCCGGCTCATCGTCTCAGGATGAGATGCTTTGCTGCAGGAGGAACTTCGTAGCATCTACAGCCAGAAGGTTAAAGCTCCAGATGAACGACGTCGTCACAAAGTTTTAAAGACAGTTGTGTTGATCCTGAGGAAACGTATGAAAACTTTTGACCTTAAACACTTTAATCAGTCAATAACAGATTATTTCTATCTGTTTTTCTAGAAATAACCCTGCTGATTCCTGCTGGCCTGGAACAAGACAAGTTTGCTCTGATTTAACGTCAGACGGCGACTCAACAAGCGGTGTATGTAACTTTTGGTCTCCACTGCAGTAAAATACGTTCAAACACATTTTTAAATGGGAGTTCAGAGATGCTTCTAGTCGCTGCGTTGGAGGAGCTGGGAGTTCGCTTCGGATTCTGCGACTCAATCCAAGATGGCCGCCGCTGTGGCCGAAGAACTTGAACTGGTTCTGTTGTTTTTTGTTCTGTTGGTTCCGTCCGTAACGCTGAGCGAGTCAAACCGACCAGAGCAGCAGGAGGCGCAGAAAAGACGGAGTGGAGAGAAACGAAGATGCAGAGCGACAGCAAGGAGAGCGGAGTCATCACATGCAGGAAGGACGATGATCCGACGCAGCAGCAGCAAATCCAGCCTGCAAGCTGAACACTGAGGTCTGGGATTACGCTGCAGCAGATTAGGATTTTGTTGCTGCTGCTTTTAATCCATCACATCAGCAGCTGTTTGTCTCTGAGGACTGAATCGTCCTCCAGCTGCAGAAAAGGAAAAGTTCTGCAGCTGCAGGGGACACAGAAGACCCGGTTCTGGTTCTGGTTCAGTGTGTGTGTCCACACTGGACCCAAAAGAGCAAAAGCAGTTTGTCGTCTGTCCTCCCATGTCCCATTCCTCAGACGGAGACACTCCATCCATCATTTCTCACGAATGAGGACACACACACACACACACACACACACACACACACACACCACACACACACACACACACACACCAACTGTTCGCTGCAGGAATTTTTATTTCCATTTTTCTTCATTTCATTGAAAACAAAAATTTGCCACAAAATCTCAATTTTCTCACCAAACAAAAATAATTGTTGGAACAAAAACAAAGTCAACATATTTATATTTATAAAATTAAATCCAGTTTTAGAGGAAGCAGCAAAGGAAGACGACGTCCTGCAGACAGATGGACTGAGGACATGAAGAGCTGCAGCTGCGTCAGCGATGGTGATGCATGCTGCTGCAAGTGTGTGTGTGTGTGTGTGTGTGTGTGGTGTGTGTGTGTGTGCGTGCGTGCGTGCGTGCGTGCGTGTGTGTGTGTGTGTGTGTGTGTGTGTGTGTGTGTGTGTGTGTGTAATCAGATCAGAGACAATTATCTCGCTCTGTCTGGGTCAGAGCCGTGGAGGAAACCCGGAGCTGCAAACAGAATCAGGACTGAACTCCATCCTGTCTCCATCTGTTCGGCTGAGCGAAGATCGTCAGTCAGCAGCTTCCTGTTTGAGATGAACCGTAACAAAGACCAAATGCAGACCTGCAGCGATTCATTCTGAGGGAGGAACCGGTTCATTGTGAGGGAGAAACCGGTTCATTCTGAGGGAGAAACCGGTTCATTCTGAGAGGGGAACCGGTTCATTGCGAGGGAGGAACCGGTTCATTCTGAGGGAGGAACCGGTTCATTCTGAGAGAGGAACGGTTTCTGATGATGGAGGACCGGTTTCATTGTGAGGGAGGAACCGGTTCATTCTGAGGGAGGAACGTTCATTCTGATGGAGGAACCGGTTCATTCTGAGGGAGGAACCGGTTCATTCTGATAGAGGAACCGTTCATTGTGAGGGAGGAACGGTTCATTCTGATAGAGGAACCGGTTCATTGTGAGGGAGGAACCGGTTCATTCTGAGGGAGGAACCGGTTCATTCTGAGAGAGGAACCGGTTCATTCTGAGGGAGGAACCGGTTCATTCTGAGGGAGGAACCGGTTCATTCTGAGGGAGGAACCGGTTCATTGTGAGGGAGGAACCGGTTCATTCTGAGAGAGGAACCGGTTCATTCTGAGAGAGGAACCGGTTCATTCTGATGGAGGAACCGGTTCATTCTGAGGGAGGAACCGGTTCATTCTGAGGGAGGAACCGGTTCATTCTGATAGAGGAACCGGTTCATTCTGATAGAGGAACCGGTTCATTGTGAGGGAGGAACCGGTTCATTCTGATGGAGGAACCGGTTCATTCTGAGAGAGGAACCGGTTCATTCTGATGGAGGAACCGGTTCATTCTGATAGAGGAACCGGTTCATTCTGATGGAGGAACCGGTTCATTCTGAGGGAGGAACCGGTTCATTCTGATAGAGGAACCGGTTCATTGTGAGGGAGGAACCGTTCATTCTGAGGGAGGAACCGGTTCATTCTGATTGAGGAACCGGTTCATTGTGAGGGAGGAACCGGTTCATTCTGAGAGAGGAACCGGTTCATTCTGATAGAGGAACCGGTTCATTCTGAGGGAGGAACCGGTTCATTCTGAGGGAGGAACCGGTTCATTCTGATAGAGGAACCGGTTCATTCTGATAGAGGAACCGGTTCATTCTGAGAGAGGAAACGGTTCATTCTGAGAGAGGAACCGGTTCATTCTGAGGGAGGAACCGGTTCATTCTGATAGAGGAACCGGTTCATTCTGAGAGAGGAACCGGTTCATTCTGATAGAGGAACCGGTTCATTCTGAGAGAGGAACCGGTTCATTCTGAGAGAGGAACCGGTTCATTCTGAGGGAGGAACCGGTTCATTCTGAGGGAGGAACCGGTTCCGACCAGCTTTTGGGTCTGTTTGTGCGGGTCAGAACAGGAGGTGGTATCATGGTTTGGATCCTCTTCTGGGACGGATTGATGCTCGAGCCTTAAAGACATCCTGGAAGAGTTAGCTGTGCTAACCCAAGAGCGCTAACCACACCGCTAATGCTAACATGCTAACCAAGCTAGGGCTAAAATGCTACATCACCACAGTAAACAGTGGAAGGTAATCTGAGAATTAGCTGAGCTTCCCGCCCTGACAGGAAATGGACCAAAGGCCCGATGAGCAAAAGGAGCAAACAGCTGGTGGACTGAGCAGAACTTCGGTCGTTCAGAACCCTGGAGACCCAGAACCGGTTCTGTTGGAGAACAGAAGCTCTTCAAAGCAGCTGGATCTGCTGTGAGCCTGATTTCTGTTCCTGGTTTTGTTCTTTTCGTTGCATCCAGTCTCAGGTTGTTGGGCTCTTTGATCTGCTCTGACCAGAACTTTCCTCCAGATCCATTTGCAGACTAATGGTTCTGTAATGCGGCGGGCGCCTGCATTAGCCTCTGCAGCTGCCAGCTGGATTCTGCCTCTATCTAAATTAATCACAACATTAAAGCCGGTGGATAATTCATGAATCTGATCATAAATCTGCAGCATTTCCTGCTTTGCGTCCAGCTGAACTTTATTTACTGCAGGTTTCATGAAGTCTGAGTTGCCAACACCGTTGAAGACGCATTTTAACGCTTTAGGAGATGAATGAACTGCAAGTGAACGTCTGGCGGAGAACGTTCTGCGTTTTCAGAGGATTTATCAGCTTCAGACTAGCACATGTAAAAAACACATAAAAAAACCCATCTCACACTAAATCACTAAATATTAAAGAAATATTTTGGTTGTTGGTTGAATTTCACAAAAAACAAAACAAGTCCTCAATATAAACTGTTTGATTTATTTAAGCCAAACTATCATATGGAATCTTTTTCATCCTGTTTCTGCTTCACTGCATGTTTTTCTCAGCTGTCCCTCTTCATGCTTTTCATCCCTCATTATTTTAATGAACCTTCACATTCATCCTTCCAGCTAGTCAATAAAATAAACATATTATGATGTTTCACGGCATTTTAATGGAAATAATGCTTTTAGAGGAGGAAGTTTTAACTCCTCGTTAAGCAGCATCACTTAACCAGTTGCAACTTTTTGCATCTTTTCTGCATTTTCAGCCTTTTGCTCAAATTTTCAGGAATAAAAACGGCTGTAAATAAAGGAAAAGTTCAGGAAAATAAGTAAAATAATATTTTACAGCGGTTTGTTGTAGACTCCCAAACTCTTCACTGTTTAATAAAAGAAGAATTGTTCCCTCTTTGGCGACATGTTCAGCCTCGTTTGGTTCTTGTCTGGTTCTCAACCTTTAATCGCTGCTCATCGTTTCCTTCCTGTCCAGCTTCTATCTGCTGCCTGATCTGAATATTTTATGACTGATGGAGGCGTCCAGAAGTTCACAGCTCGTCTTTAAGCTTCTCTTTTCTGGCTCTTATTTGTTTGGCGTTTTCATACTTTGGTTTCCAAGCTGGGAGTTTTTAGAATCCGTGACGGTGATATTTCTGCAGCATGAAGGTCGAGTGTGAGGAAAAGTCCCAGAACGCCTGAGGAAGAGTTGGTTAAAAGATGAAAGTTCATGCTGACCTTGTTCCTGCGGCTCAGTCCAGTAAAACAAACAGGAATCCTGGTGAAGCCAGAGATCAGCAGACAGCCACTCACCTTGAAGAGCCAGCAGGGTCAGAGGCAGCAGCAGCAGCATCCCGGATCCGTTCAGGCACCAAACACACGCAGCCGCCAGCGCCGACACGTCCGAACCTTCTGCAGCCAGAAAGAGCAGGACGGAGCTGCTGGGACTCTGGGTGTGGTCTGCCCTCCTCTTCCTCTCCTCCTGATGAAGAGGGGAGTGTCCACTGCCACCGAGGGGAGGGGCCGAGGACCTGATGGAGGACGGCCGGTCCAAATGAATAAATGGAAGCAGAGTCGGGTTTCTGGTTTCACCTGCTTTCACTTTCACATTTCTCTGCTTCCTCCACAGAAAAATCTGATATTCTCTCCAAAACCCCTGATGGTCAAAGGTGAGCGGCTTGCATCCCACCATCCAGCAGGCGGACGTGCTGCAGACGGGCTGCAGTGGTGCTGCAGTTGTGCTGCAGTCGTGCTGCAGACGGAGCGTTTATTCCCTCACAGCGACGCGCGGAGACTGACGGACTGATGCTGCGTCCGGGACGGGGGAGGGAGCCGTAGAGGTGTTGCTATGATATCAGATTTTCCTATGTGACGTGTCCATGTCCTCTGAAAGTCCCACATGATGCAGAGATGCAAAAACACAAACAGGACGAAAAGGCAAAGCGTCACAATAAACGGCTCCATGTTCAACAGTTATGACACGATTTTAAGAAACAAACATAAAAGCAGCAGATTCATTTCTGCAGGCAAGTTTTAAATCCTCCTGACTGGGCAGAGAGTCAGCAGCACAAACCCCTCACCATCAACATGACAACACCACAGCTAAAAGGCTAACCCTACATTAGCAGGAGCTAATGCTAACGTGAAATAACATGGTGATGAAAGCTAATGCTAAACTGCTATACCAACATGGTATTTAGCAGAAAGAATGTAAACGCTATAAAAACACGACATTTAGCCAGCGCTAACGCTGCAGAGCTACAGTAACACGTTATTCACTACTGATACGCTCCACTCAGGCTAAAGCTAAAATACTTTGTCAGGCAACATTTAGCTTTAGCAACTGCTAAAATGCTAACTGATATGGAATCTAGCTGAAGCTAATGGTGAGTTTCACCAGCACTCTGATAATCCTTCTGGACTGAACTGTTTTATAAAACAATAAATGAAACACAAAGTGAGCAAAAATAAAACAATAAGCAGAAATAATAGGAACAGTGTTTCAACTGGACCAATCAGAACCAACTGGATGAAAACCAGGCTGATCATCAGGAGATCAACTCATCAAACAGAGACAGAAAATCAACCTACAGGATGCATCTTCATGTTTCCGTTTCAGCCCATCGAGCTGCAGGACGGTGCTGCCACCTACAGGCCAAAAGGCAGGACAGCAGCTGCTTTTGGTGATTCTGCTTCATTGGTTCATCAAGAACAAACAGCATCACGGAGGACACAGCAGAGAAATCTCAGATTTGAACTTGTGAGAGAATAAAGTTCATGTTTCCTCAGTTTTTAGATTTTAAAACATCTAAAAAAGTGAGAAACTATTGGCTTTCAGAGGAACAGCAACATCCTGTCTGCTGGTGCTGATCGATTCTCAGGACATTAAAAAGTAAGACACCAACATGCATGACACCAACGTTATGTTGAGCTACGGAAACAGCAGCGTTTCCCCCAGTGAAGAGTCATTTTGCTGGCGGGGATGAATTATTCCAGGAAAACGATGGGTTTTTGATTTTTATGGTTTTGACAGTTGATGCATTGAACAGGAAGCACCAATCACACCACTGAAGTTCCCCTGACCCACATGGACCCCCGGTGGGTGAGGATCCATGCAGGAGTCAAGTTTACATTTGCTCTGCTTGTGCAGCTCAATGAAGCGCAGAGGTTCAGACTGAGCTGCTCTCAGAGTTCACAGGTTTTCACAAGTGCATTTACGTCTCAACATGCTGACTGTCTGCTTCCAGTTCCTGCTGGTTTGTTTTATTTTATTTACATACGGCCACACAGTGCAGGTCAAAGGCTTTGTCTTCTTCAAGTCAGATCAGAACAACTCAATCAACCAAAACAGTTCCTGTGGCGCTAAAACTCAATAGACACGAAACGAAACGGCTACTAAAGCTCCAAAAATGAAATGTCCCGTTTGTTTCTGCACCAAGAACCACTGAAGGAAACGACACAGAAACCTCTGCAGACACTGAGAGACACTGATTCATTTTAAAATCCCCGAGAACAAAATGTGTTTGTCTCGTTGTTTCACATTTCATCTGCAGAAGCTGCAAACATTTATGGTAAAACATGCAGATGGTATTTAAGATGAACTATGACATTTCTGCAGCCTGGAGCCAGTTTAAACAATCCTGTATTCATTTTTGACTAAATAATAGTTTTATTTCTATTATCATTTTATAATGGTTTTATTATAAAATGATAATAAAACCGTTTTATTATCATTTATAATAAGAAAATGATAAATAATAAATAATAATAGGCTATAAGACTATTGTTTAAATAATACATTTCCCTCCAAGAAGCCAGATTTTCATCATCCAGACTCTTTTTGGACGTTGATCTCAGTTTTGGTTCCATCCTTGACTAATTTAAATCCTCCAAACTCCAGGAAGATCCGGCGTTTCGGAGCGCAGCAGGAACGGAGCAACGCGCAGCAGCTGCAAGACGCCACTGGAAACCCAGCAGGAGACCCAGACCAGCTGCTTCATAAAAACCATCTAAACTCATAAAGTTACACATTTCACCTTCATTTATCATCAAAACCAGACATTTATAAAAACACTGCCCGGTTTTCTCGCCATCTGACATCAAATCAGGTTTTTCTGTTTCTGTCAGGATTGTAAAAAGATTTTTATTTCTGTCAAAACCAAGAATCACCTCTAAACCGGAGCTTCAGCGTTCAGTTGCTTCCAAACCCTTTCAATCAAAATCTGCCTGTTTGCAGCCACTGATGGTTCATTTTGCCTCCTGTTTGCACAGGTCACATGACAGGTGTGAGCGCGTGTGCGAGAGGGGTCAGGGGTCAGGCTGTTCGGAGAGCGTCTGGCCGCCATGAACCGCAGCAGAGTCTCAGGTTTACTAATCTGTTGTTTCATTTCCAGGAAAGCAGGAAGTTTCCGAGTTTCTGCAGAATTTTAGCAGCAGAAAAAAAAAACATGAAATGTTTTGACAGGAAAGAGATTGGGATCAAAGGTCAAACTCAGCTTAAAACATTAACAGCAGTCATTTGGTTTATTGAAGAAAATAATGTGTTCATTTGTCAAAGTCATATTTATAGCTGTCTACATTTTGAAGAAAATGTTTAATTCACAAATTAAAAAGTTAGTTTGAAAACTAAATTTTGTCTTTATGACATAAACCAAAACTATCGCAGTTCATATTTTACAGTGTAACTTCACAAACAATTTCAGGGAACATTTCTCCAGATGAAATGAAAATGGCCAGATTTCTAGATGCTTCAATCAAACAGGAAGTTTTATTCTATTAGGGAATAAAACAGGCATCTCTTCACCAATAACAACAAGGAAAAAACAGTCAAAATAAAATCTATTGGTTTTTTATGGCCTTTTCTGGAGTTCAAAGGTCAGACGAGACAGAAATGGAGCCGTTTCACCCAATAACACAATAAAGTTCATGCAATGCAACAGGCAGACACCCGACTGGAGCTCCAGTATCTAAAACTTTGACTGTGCTGCACATTTCAAGAAAAAAATAACAAAAATAACAAATACACAAAAATACAAATTTAGCCATGTTTTTGGTCAAAACAAAATGAATTCAATAAAAAAATGATCAAAAACCATAAAACCAACCAGAATGTTTGAAATGAAGCCAGAAAAGTTTCAATTTTTAAAGTTTTTAATGACAAATTTAATCTAATAGTTTCATAGAAACTAGAACTGGAGTTCAGAGGAAGAGGAACCGAGACGAGTGGGCCGGGATTCAAACCGGTTCTGGTCCTCTGGTTGTCATGGACACGAGGGGACGCGAATCCCAGCTGAAGAGCTGCGTGTGGCCCAGTAGAACCGGGCCACCTGGAGGACCGGAGAGCTCATCTGCACATCAGCACGGCCGCCGCCAAGACCAGCAGGACCAGGGCCGGAACCAGCAGGAGGCCCGCGTAGAGGAGCCACGGCTCCGGGTACCGGCGCCGCTCACCTGCCCACAGAAACACAGAAACTCACAGCTGGAACTGAAGCATCCTGGGAATTTAACTACAGAAACTCACAGCTGGAACTGAAGCATCCTGGGAATTTAACTACAGAAACTCACAGCTGGAACTGCAGCATCCTGGGAATTTAACTACAGAAACTCACAGCTGGAACTGCAGCATCCTGGGAATTTAACTACAGAAACTCACAGCTGGAACTGCAGCATCCTGGGAATTCAACTACAGAAACTCACAGCTGGAACTGCAGCATCCTGGGAATTTAACTACAGAAACTCACAGCTGGAACTGCAGCATTCTGGGAATTCAACTACAGCTCCCAGAAATTCTAAAAACAACGGTTTCATCAGGAAGAAAAGTGAAAGTTGCTAAGAATTCCATGTTGTTGTTGCATCTTTTCCAGCTTCTCCTGCTGCTGAAATAAAAATAATAATGATCCTAATTCCTGTGGTGGGATTGTTTTTATTTCAAACCGTTTTTGCATTAGACAGAAAAATCTGACAGTAAATTTATTCTTCGTCATCTTGAAGCTGATATCTACCCGCCTGCTGTCTGTGGAAGTTGCTGCTGGTTATCAGGACGTCGTGCAGCTTCAGTTGACAGACGTACTGCCCGCTGCCCGTCACAGGGACGGCGGCCGCCAGAGTGGCGGGGTTCTTGGTGGGGTCGTTGGCGGGGTCGTTGGCGGGGTCGTTGGCGGGGTCGTTGGCGGGGTCATTGGCGGGGTCATTGGCGGGGTCATTGGCGGGGTCCTTGGCGGCCCTGCGCTCTGAGGGGGCGGAGCTCTGCACCACGCAGCCGTTTCTGGTCAGAGTCAGAGTCAAACCCGGATCCTGCGACGTTGACCTCGCAGCGCAGCAGGGAATCATTGCGGCTGCAGAGGTCAAAGGTCATGGTATCTGAAATGAAACACAGTTGCTTTTAAGATGAACTTTAGTTGATTTCCTCTGTTTTCTCTGTGATTTAGGTAAAAATAGAAAACAGTTTTCTTCATTCTCATATTTCTGTCTGTAATTCGTCCAGCTGCTCAGTCAGCTTCGTTAAAACTCATCATTCTATGAAATCCTGCTGAAAACGAACAAACTTCCTTCTCAGGCAGCAGAGGTTTGGACTCTACCGTGGACGATGAGCCTGGTTCTGTTTCCCTTCAGTCTGAAGCTTCCCCTCTTGTCGGTTCTCATGGACAGTTTGCACTCGTACGTCCCGCCGTCGGACCACCGCACCTCCTTCAGCTCAATAGATTTGTTGGAACTGGAGGAGGTTTTGTTCTCGTTAAACTGGAGCTGTTTCCCATCGACCTCCCAGTACAGGACGGGCCGGTTGAGGAGCTTCTCCTGCTGGGAGTCCTGCAGCTGGCAGGGCAGCAGGACGCTGTGGCCCCGGGCCGGCGACCACCGCAGGCTGCAGCAGGGAGAACTCGGCCTCGGCGGCTGGAAAACCACCGCAGCAAACTGAGAAACAAGGACGCAAACAGAAAACCTTTAGAAGCAGCAACTTTACTCAACTCAAGTCATCAAATCAGCCAGGAGGGTTAGAGCTCTGGAAATTGTCTGAAAAAATTAATTTAGGGAAAGATAGGACTGCTATTGCAAAGTTAGCTAAAATGGTGAGCTAAATATCAGCTGTGTTATTAGCACTGACCACAGCTGAAGCTGAAGAGCTTCTGACATGGTGAGAAATAAACCAGCAGTGGAAACAGACAGGTTCCATCTATTTCTGGGTCGGTTTGGTTTAACTGACGTGGAACCAGCATCCTGTGGTGAGCAACACTCATTCTGGGAGCCAGTTTCTAAAGGTCAGAGTTCAGCAGAATCTGACTTTCCCCCAGCTGCTGGAGAAAACAGAAAACCAAGAAATGGAATAAATCCCTAAATTCAGCCAGTTAAATGTTTAAATGTGCAGATTTTACATGTTTAGTTTTGAAATGTTTGGGAATGAAACATTTTTTCAAGAAAATCAGGAGTGAAAAAGTCTAGAGATTAAATCTTCAGCACGATTTCTGATATTAATGCAGATTACAGTGAATAATCCGAAAGACAAGAGAAATAAAATATTTTCTACTTCTGACCTGTTATTTATAAGTGATACTGTTGGGGTTCTCTATATGCCTAAATCCTAATTTTCATCTTTTAGGACCTGCATTGATAAAATGATTCATCATATCCATCAGATCTGACTCCTGGTGTCCCAGGGATCTGTCCTGCGCCCACTTCTTTACTCCTTTATGCTGTTTCAGTCGTGTTTCTTATCAATTCTGTGTTGATGACTTACAGTTATCCTGTTCTTTTAAATCCTCTGAGGTTTTTTCAAATGGTCAGGATTAAGATTATGGCTCATTTTAATCTGTTTACAGGTGAAAATATTCCTGAAATCAGACAGATTTCAGTTATATGATCTTAGTTTCATTCTAATCTCAGGAAGTTTCATGTCTCTTGATCTTTATTCCAGGTAATTCACTCAAAACTGTTTAATCTCTAAAAAGCTGAAGCTGAACTGTGGTATCTGTGTGAACTGGAAACCATTTTGCATGTTTTCCTCTTAGGTGGATTATTTAATGATCTTTTTCACTGTTTTTTTGATAAATCTGCAATGCATCGCATTCAAACTGCGGAAAGCTGCAGCTCCACTCTTACCAAGCTGCAGAGTTCGCATTAAAGAGTTTGCAATAAATTTTGACCAATTGGAGGGAACATATGAAGAAACGACGTCTGCATCAAACTATTATAGAGTCAAAAATGAATCCAGGAACAAAAACTGAAAAACAGGAAAGGAAACATGAAGTGGGACAGAGATTGTTTCTGTGGCATTTTAAATGAATCTCAGCTGCGATGTTGTTGTTGTTTCATCTTCTCTCTGTAAAAGCTTAATAATCTCCGGCCTCAACTGAAACCCTGAATCTGTCGGATTAAAAGATTTAAAAAGCAGCAATTATATGTTTTATCTGCTATATTTATGGCATACTTAGGCAAAAAATCTACAGAGAGGCATTTTTATTATTATTTTCATAGTTTTTTAAATTCAAACCGTTAAAGGTACAATTATTTTCTATGGGAAGACATAACAGTCATAAATAGCTGAAGATGAGCAGAGAATCCCACTGCATCATGATCCATACATTATAACTTTAATAAGTTTGCTGCTGATGGAGTTGAGCTGCAGACAGAGCGGCTGGCGGTCGGGGTACCGGGGACTTCCTGGCGGGCCGGTGCGTTCGGGGCCCGGTGGTTAACGAGCTTTCGCGTTCATGCAGCACCTTCTTCATTTTGTGGTGCCACTAAAGCCTCAAAATATTCAAAACGTTTTCTCTCCCATAAAACCTTTAAACACATAAACGAGCGCTACAACAGCCAGAGCAGAAATGAGAGAAACCGTCTCATAAAGCCTGTGATCAATTATGCTGTCGTTGTTTTGAGGCCATTTTCAGTGATATGGTATTCTCAAGGATCTAAAACCTTTACATGATGAAGAAGACTTTTTAAATGTTCAAAATAAAAAAACAAAACAACAGAAACTACAAATAAAATGAATTATAACGTATCTGAATGAAACTCCTGCTTCGTTTTCCTTCTGAAACTCGACAGCTAAAAAAGAAACAACCTATTTTTGGCTGACAAATATTTTAAGTTGCAAAAACTTAATGAATCCAGAAAACTGAGGTAGTTTTTTAACATTATTTATTGAGTTCTCAGTACTTCAATATCTAAGGGTTTTTTCTTTATTTTGTTGAGAAAAATAGGAAAACTAAATTTTGGAGTTGGTTTCTGATTTTGTTTGTAAAGTTTTACATTTATTTAATGAGAGTAAAAGGATTTTGGAATCTCTTGTCAGAATAACCTGTTTGGTTAAATGAAAACCAAACACTGGAATAATTTCAGGAATTTTTCCTCAAATGGGTTTTACATAATTATCATCGTCTCCAAAGATGAAATTGTTGAGTTAAAGTCTAAAACTTGAAAATTTCCTTCAGTTTTCTGTTACTTTCTCTTTTTACGGTGCATCAGCCAAACATGACCCAAATGACATTATTCTGCTGGCTGACAAAATAAGAATGCTTCTTTATTTAAATCTATTGGAGATAGATTGAAATATCTGAGGAGCGAAACATATTTTCTGATTTCCTTTAATTAACGCTGAGCTGAGGTTTGTTTTTACCTGAAAGCATGAAGCAGACGTGCAGCAACATCTTCCGACTGCGGCTGAAAGCCTGCATGTTTCCTGCTGCTGCAGAAAGAGGACGCTCCGTGTTCCTGACAGGACTCTCACTCAGCCGGCTTTTACTTCCACACGGATGCAGAGACACGGAGGATTCAGGCAGAGTTCATCACGCAAATGAAACTGAAAATACCAGAAAAACCCTAACAGGATGTGGTAAACTTTGCATTCAGCAAACCCCCCTTCCCCTGTCCAAATGAAGCATTGTTGGCTCACAGGGGGCTTCTTTTCTCTGATTTGCACCAAAAGTCTTTTGAAGAAGAAAAATAAAGGAAACTTCTGCTCCCTGTTTTCTAAATGAAATCTGAACTTTTAAAAAACGAGGCTGTGATTCTTCACCTGCTGAGCTCTGATGTCAGCGGCGGTCTGCTGAAGTTCGTTCTGGTGAAACCATTTCGTCACACCTTTACTCTCCCTCCTTTCTGTCGCTCTGCCGAAAGGTGACATGTTTCCATGACAACTGGCTTAATGCTGATATTCTGGATTAGGGGAAACCACCAGCGCAAGTTGCAGAGGTGGAGACCACCGCTCGCTCTTCAACAGGATGTTGTTCAACACGTTACGCCCACCCTTAAAAAATAACATCTAACTGCTGAAAACTGGAAAAATCCACCAGCCTCTCACATCAGCTGTCATTAGTCACACAGAAAACTTGTTCTAACTGAACAGGTTCAGTCATGAAGAGCAACTGTTGTGTTAAATTATGTTTCGTCAAAAATTATTCAAAGTATAATATTCAGGTTTCGTTCTGTGCAATAAAACAACCGCTGCATAACTTATACAACGGTTGTTTTATGTGTTTACATGCAGCTACATGTGCTGCAGCCCACATCATAATACAACCGCCATCATTTTTGGATTTATTAGCTTCATTTTTCTGTGTGATCTCCATCTGTTCCTGCATTTTAGGCAAACTGAAATATTATTCAGTGTCTCACTTCGTATTGTGTCGTAGCTTTCATAACACCAACAGTTTCAGTAGTTTTTGGGGTTTTTTTGTCCCTTTATTTCTCCAATTACATTTTTTCCATTAGTGTTGTTTTTATTAATCTAAAATGGCTTCAAAAGTTTGTAAATGCCTCAAGCAGAATTCCAACCATCTTTAGTTGTTTTTGACAGAACAAATCCTTAATATTTAGGGCACCGACTCGCTTTTGCCTTGGAGCGGCTCTTCTTCTGGACATATTTTTTTATGTGAAAATAATGATAACAGAAGACAAGTGAATCATATTCAATGTTTATAATAAAATTTTATTGATATTTAATAAATCCAGCCTAGTTTTACATGCTCCTCAAATGTTCAGGTGCTTTCCCACCATTAGTTATGCAAGTTGCCCGGAAACACTAAGAACTGAAGGAAAGAACTACATTACCCATAAACCCTGACGCTGACGCATTGCGTCAACACGTCAAGCTAGAGAATTTTAACATGGAGGACTGCGTTGTTGTAGAAAAGAGCCCGGTAAGATCCGTTTTTAACCGTTGTTATGCTGTTTACTTTTAATAAACTACTTTAGTGAAGTAATGTGTTTGGAGTTTCTTCTTCAAACTTAGTTTAAGGTCGATTCTTTTTGTTTTTTTCAGCTGTTTAAAGCAGTTTTACTCGGAAAACCTGCCAATTCATTCTCCGCCCGGTGCGGCTGCTGTTAGCGTTAGCATCCCGTCTAGAGAGAGATAAAAATAATTTTTACGGTTGTGACCAATTTATATCTTAAACTAGATTACGCATTTGTGTTAAAATTTTACGGATGTTGTTGCATTTCTGCTTGACGGCCCTGCTGTCTGGGTGCTACGGTTCATCATGTTGCGATGCTAAAGTTAGCTGACTGCTAACCACCTAAATAGGTGTCTCTGTGAAATCCTGATGAAAATCTGTCTGAAAATTAGATGTAAGCTGTAAAAATTGTCTTGGTTATGTGTAATTGTGCAGCCTTTTTGTATTGACTAACTGCAGCATCATAAATAAATGTTAAAAACAATGTTATTCAGAAGTAAACAAAAATGAAACAGCATTTTTGATAATCACTACATCAAGTTAATCTGAAAATGTCCTATTTCTGTCATCCCATCATTTAATAGTTTTACCAAAGGATGGTTACTGCAGTCTCTTCTGTACATAAATTAGATCCTTTTTTACTAACCGTTTTATGATGACTGTTGATCTGTCTTTAGACTAAAGTGAATATTAAAAACGTTTTGCTACTTTTTCTTTAACAAAAAAATATTTCCATAAAATGCTGACAGGCATCAGCTTTTCATTATGTAACTCTGCATTTCCTGATACTTCTGGGTTCTTATTAAACTACTAAATGTTTTTAGATCAATTCTGGTCCCGTTTGTAGAACATGTTCATTATTAAAATACTTTGAGTTAATTATAGATTAACGAAAACTTCAGCCTGACTCATTGTTTTGAGTTTCTTATACACTTGAATAAAGCTGAAGCAACATTGAGGAGCCAGATTAAACTTCCAGATGATGATATGATAAATTTGCAGATTATATAAGTGACGTTTGGTGAGATTCTGACTCTACAGACATATAAAACCCAAAGAGGAAGTATTAGTTGTTTATAATTAATTATACTTAATCAATTCCTCACTCTTGAACAAAATGACAGCAATAAAACTAAAAGAATATTTTACATAAGGAAAATTAGACAAATGTATATTTTAAATCATTTAAATTGAACTTTTCCTTATTGGTGTGTGTTGTTGTGACTCTGTGTGTTGTTGTGAATGTGTGTGTGTGTTGTGACTCTGTGTGTGTTGTTGTGAATGTGTGTGTGTGTTGTTGTGACTCTGTGTGTGTGTGTTGTGACTCTGTGTGTGTGTTGTGACTCTGTGTGTGTTGTTGTGACTCTGTGTGTGTGTTGTGACTCTGTGTGTGTGTTGTGACTCTGTGTGTGTTGTTGTGACTCTGTGTGTGTTGTTGTGACTCTGTGTGTGTTGTTGTGACTCTGTGTGTGTGTTGTTGTGACTCTGGGTGTGTTGTTGTGACTCTGTGTGTGTGTTGTTGTGACTCTGTGTGTGTGTTGTTGTGACTCTGGGTGTGTTGTTGTGACTCTGTGTGTGTTGTTGTGACTCTGGGTGTGTTGTTGTGACTCTGTGTGTGTTGTTGTGACTCTGTGTGTGTTGTTGTGACTCTGTGTGTGTTGTTGTGACTCTGGGTGTGTTGTTGTGACTCTGTGTGTGTTGTTGTGACTCTGTGTGTGTTGTTGTGACTCTGGGTGTGTTGTTGTGACTCTGTGTGTGTTGTTGTGACTCTGTGTGTGTGTTGTTGTGACTCTGTGTGTGTGTTGTTGTGACTCTGTGTGTGTTGTTGTGACTCTGGGTGTGTTGTTGTGACTCTGTGTGTGTTGTTGTGACTCTGTGTGTGTGTTATTGTGACTCTGTGTGTGTTGTTGTGACTCTGGGTGTGTTGTTGTGACTCTGTGTGTGTTTTGTTGTGACTCTGTGTGTGTTGTTGTGACTCTGTGTGTGTTGTTGTGACTCTGTGTGTGTTGTTGTGACTCTGGGTGTGTTGTTGTGACTCTGTGTGTGTTGTTGTGACTCTGTGTGTGTGTTGTTGTGACTCTGGGTGTGTGTTTGGACCCCTGACAGGAGGAGCTTCCCTCCATCCTGAGCTCCAGGCCCCAGACCGGTCTGTCCTTCCTGGCTCCAGAACCAGAGGACCTGGAGGATCTCTACACCAGATATAAGGTCTCCTGCTTCTGTCTGTCCACTCACATCTGCTGAGCTACAGGAAAGGCGATGATTAAATCATCTCTGAGACAAATATTAGTTTGAAAACGATGTTTACATTTTACCTTACAGTTTGTCCCTTAAATCAGTACCACGTCTGTCTTGTGCCACTTGCAGTGTGGCCTCATGTTGTGGCCCATTGCTACTATTAGTCCAACATGGGGCAACTCATGTTTGACCTGGACCCCAGGAAGAATGGCCAAAGAAACAAATGGTGTGTGTGTGTGTGTGTGTGTGTGTGTGTGTGTGTGTGTGTGTGTGTGTGTGTGTGTGTGTGCAGAAGCTGCAGCAGGAGCTGGAGTTCCTGGAGGTGCAGGAGGAGTACATTAAGGACGAGCAGAAGAACCTGAAGAAGGAGTTCCTGCACGCCCAGGAGGAGGTGAAGAGGATCCAGAGCATCCCTCTGGTCATCGGCCAGTTCCTGGAGGCTGTAGACCAGAACACGGCCATCGTTGGCTCCACCACAGGTATCCGGGTCCGGACCGCATCGCTGTGATGTTCCTCCAGCCCAGCATGAGATCAGTCAGCTGCAGACGGCGGAGTGACCGCGGCTCTGCGGCTCTTCTTTTAATTCAGTGAAGCGTTTATTAGGGTGTTTAGTGTTTGGCTCCACTTCGCTGTTCAACAGTAACTTTTCTGCTTCTCAGTGATTTATTGCTAAATCTAGCAGTTGTTTTCAAAAACTTAAATCCTGAGAAAAAACAAAATCTATTTTTTTAATCAAACCCAAAAGAATCTGGCTGTGAAAATAGTTCAAAACCCTTGAAAGTTTTCACTATATTGTGACATACATTTCCCTGTTTCTGCAAGAAACATTTTATTAGTGTAACTAAAAATATTTAAGTTTTTAGTTCTGGTTTTAAAATGTATAAACTGCTTTTAGGATTTTAGCAAAGAAAAAAAGTTGTTTTCTATGGAGCAATGATTTTAAGAGAGTTTGGAAAATTCTGTTTCAAAGTAAACACTGCTTATTTATTTTTATTTACTTTTCTTTAAACTTTTCTGTTTATATTTTAAATTTTTCTTGGAAAATTCTTATTTAAATCAGACATGTTTTTATTATTTTATGTTAATATTTATCAAAATAATTTTTTATTTTTGTATTAGTTTATTGAAAAATTTTCTTTCTTTAAAAAAGTTATTTTTAAATAAAAAAACATTAACAAACAAGAATAGTTTATATATAAACTCAAACTGCCGTGCAGTTCCGTCGTGGCCTGTGGGGGGCGCCAAAGTCGTCTTGTTTACATAACTGTATTTACATTCAGCCTGAAACCATCAGTCAGAACATTGTTAGTATTCAGTTTATGTTTCTAGACATGTTGAATCTGGTGAAGGAGAAACTTCAAACTCTTTAGGGATTAAATGACTTGATATCAAAAACAACATTTTATCTGATCTGGAATCAGCTGCTTTTAATTTTTCTGAAATAAAACTGAGTTGCTGAGTATTTAGTGTAAACTGTGAGTGGTTTTTAAGTGTTGAATTTGTGTTATAAAGGTTTTTTGTAAGTTTATATTTTAATTATTAAGCGTTGGGCTCTGTGCTGCCTTCAGGGTCCAACTATTATGTCCGCATCCTGAGCACCATCGACCGAGAGCTGC